ATTGATATTGGTTGGTATCACGGGAAAAAAATTCATTGCATACCAATTTGAATCAAAGGAATCTCAATTTGCATCCTCTGTATTTTTGAAATTTTAAATTTAAAAAATTTAAAAAAAAATAATATGTTACTCAAAAAATCACTCGAAATTGCACAAGTAACTTAGTTTTCGAGACTTTTAACATTGAGTGAACATGGGAATTCGCTTTTCACAATAAATTGGAACCTATGTCGCTTTGTATTTTATAGTTTATTAACATTAATTAATAATAGTTAATATTATTGTAGTAAAAGCGTCTAAAAGTAATTGAATTTAGAAATTTAATAGCTTCGACTTTATATATTTTATTAAAATTTTCTATAAAAGTTCAAAATTTAATTTAGATGAAATTTCAAACGAAATAATAATAAACACATTTTTCACATACTTACATATAATACGTACTTTAAACATACATATTATGTGTACTCTCAAACTAATTATCTACATACATATATTTAACTATTTAAGTATGTTTTATAAAAAAACCCATTGTTGCGGCCAGCATACAAACGACCACATTGCACATCCGAATAATATTCATCATTAAAATTTTATTTCTACAAACCTCATAAAAAGTAACCCGAAAGAATGAAATTGTTTTGTTTAAACTCATAAGATGATTTTTAAGAATCCAAACAGATTTGAACGTAGAAATATAAAATTTTTCCCGAGGTCCAACATATCAATTATCATCGCAACTGACAACGCAACAAACATCTCCCTTTAAAAACAGTTTCTTTAAGTTTCTCGAAAATAAAAAGTCAGCATGTGAAATTGAGTAAGATCACAGTACTTGCCTAATAATACAATATTAAATGAGGTAAATGAGAAAAAGAAAAACCAAAACTAAAAATCTATTCAGAGGATGTTCACCTTTGAAATTATTGTTTGTTGCAAATTGGAAACTCACAATTCCATAGATTGTTTAAAAAAAAATATTAAAAAATAAAAAGTAATAGTTACTATTATTGTCCAACTATCATTAGTTACCACCATTCTCTTCTTCATTCTCTCTTTATTTTTTATTTGTTCTTTCTCAAAAAAAATTCAAGTCGACAAGAACTTTATTTTGTTTACCGTTTCGCAATTCAAACTCTTGAAATTTCCACTATACCATACATATACACAAATCCATTAAAATGAAATGAAACTCCTTAAAAATTTACTGCCCCCATGTACAAAAAGGTCACGTTTTTTTTTTTGTTTGCTTCTTTCTTTAAAACTTTTCATTTACAGGTATTAAAAAAAATATATTATTAGTTAGTATTTTGTAGATATATTAATATTTATAGTGCTTGCTTGCACAAAAAAGGGACACCATCAGAATTTATATTGTATTTTAAATTTATTATTGTTATTTTTCCTTTTTTTTCTTTTTGAATTTCCAACTCTTTAATTCCGTCTTTACTTTTATTTCACCTCTCATCCTACAAGCATATTCTTTATATATATGTATATATATATTTATAGGTGAAAAAATTTTCAAGTTAAAATCTTTTCTAGGAGGCTGACAATAAAAAAACAAAAAAAAAGTTGGTTCAAGTATTTTTTTTTTATTTTATTTCTTCTTTAAGAATTTTTAACTTTATTTATTTGTCTTTTTTTTGTCGTTTTTTGTTTTTTATTTCCCTTAACTATTTAAGAATTATAACTATCATCATTAAAAGAGTTTACTGTTGCATTTAAGTGGATTCATAACGTTCATTCACATATAAAATTCATAAATTTTTATTGTTAAGTATCGTAATAATTTTCACTTAGAGTGAGAGAGAAAAATATATGTATATACATATATATTTACCTACATAGATTTTATAATATTAATATTATAAAAAGTATAAAATTTTTATGAAAGAAAGAAATGATAAAACTTACAATGTCCAGCTGTAAAAAAAAGGAAGAATTAGGTATGCAAAAAAAAAATTTTAAATTTTAAAGTTGAAATTTATAACGTAAATTTAACTGTTGATTTTATACAAAAATTTAAGAGTATTTTTGTGAAAATTTGATAAATTGCTGGGAAATCTAACATTAAATGTTGAAAATTGTTAAAAAAACTTATCTTTTCTATTTTTTAAACTATATCGTAAAAAATCCTAATCGTAAAATTTTACTTTACCCAAAGCAGTAAAATTTTATATTAATTTTCTGAATTGTTAAATAAAAGCAGAACCCAGGCCAGTAGGAAAAAATTGCTTTGCAATGAAAATATTTCTGATATTTTACATACAAACATACTTGTCATTTCTCAAAACAATCTCAAAATAATTTAAATTTTAGTAGCTATCATGATTTTATTATTGAATGAACGTTTCTTTCATCACATTAAATTGCAATATTTAAAAAAAATTTAGGAAAAATTGGTTTCTTTGATTAATTTTTGAGTTTTCATTTTTATTAAAAAACTTAATCACCAATGCTATTTTAATATCATCAGAATTTCAATACAAAAATCTTATAATAATTTTCAAATGTATGTACACAAAATATACCTATAAAATCAGGCTATTGGCATTTGAAAACGTTTCCAAACAATAAAAATCATATCGCGTTCTTTACAAAAGTTTACAATAATTAATTACAAATTTCCTTCTGAATTAACGTAAGCCACTATACCACATTAGAATTGGTATACTAAGTGACCATAAATTTTTTATAAAAATTTCTCAGCAAGACAAACAAACAAATATTTCACATTAAATAATTTTTATTTTGAAAATAAAAAAAAAATAAAGGAAATAAAAAAACTTTTTACGATTAAGGACATTAGGAGAACAAAATAGAAACAGCAAAAACAAAATACAAAGTAAAAAACCAATTTTTTAACTTTAAACTTAAAATAGAAAATAAAAACCAAAAAAGATAAAAAAAAAATTTGGAGTAAAACAAAGGCAAGAGGTTATCCTCTTAATAAAAAACTTTCCTATAAGTATTGTGAAAAGTTTTTCCTAGATATACTAGGAGGAGAAAAAAGAGAGCAAAAGAAAATGAAAAAAAAAAAACGTCCCAGACAAGTTTAAGGCTTATTTTTTCCTCTGGATATCCTCGTAATTCACAACAAAATTAAAAGTTTTGCTGTTCATTTTATACATTTTGTTTTGCTATATTTTTTTTTAATACCTACATTTTTTTTTTTAATACTTGAATTGAAATAAAAAAAAAAAGGATTTTTAACAAAACTTTAAATATAAAGTAAGTGAAAGTTAAAAAAAAAAAGTGTCTTTTTTTCAACCCTCATAGTGCTTATCTCTAAAAGATTAAGTTCATCTGGTTGTTGACCCATGATTTGAAAAGGACCTATAAAAATATGAATAGTTAATATAAATGTTATTGCCCCATGCAAAAGAAAACAAAAAAGGGGGTCACTTGGTCATTTTTATTAGAAAAAATAAAATATTGTTACTCTTTTTTTTTTAATAACAAAACTTCAAAAATAACAAATTCAAAATATTCGAATATTTTAGTTTACTACCTTTATTTTTTTATTGTTTTTTGAGAGATTTTTAATTTCAACCTAAAATCAAAAGTTTACATTCAAGTTCCTTTGGGTATAATAAATTTACACATTCATTTTACTATACTAAAGATACAATTTAATTATTTTGTGTATCTCAGAAATGGTAAAGTGGAAAATTCTTAACACAAGTTCATTAATTTAATCGATTCCATAAACATTATTTTACTATTTTCGTTCTTTCAATATTATTTTGTAGAAAAATTAAATACAACAATTCTGGTAAAAAGAATTTCAAGTATTTTGCTTTTTCCGAAAATTGAAGTATCAACACAAAAATATTTTTAAATTGAGAAGTTGTTAAATAGTAAGGGTTTCTAGTATAAGTACATGATAAAATTATAAACTTACATTATTCATCTATATTTTAATAGAAGGTAACAAGAAAATTTGAAATTTATTCCTTGTATCTATTATTTTAAGTAATTTTATTTATTTTTATTAAGATAAGATGTAATATGTGCTGTCAGGATATATTACAATTTAATATATAATTAAATTCAAAATTCGAAAATTCGAGAAATATGAATTTTCCTTAAAGTGATCCTTTTTGATATAATATCGTATCTGCATTAATATGAACAAAATCGGATGCATTCCTGTGCAAATACTGTGGGGAGAGTTACAAAATTGTTTGATAATTTCTTTATTACTCCTCAACATACTAACTTTTCGCCATTAAATTTTATATTGAATTTCCTTATTATTCAAGAAGTGTCACATGAATTCGGAATTAAATTTAACAGATAATCCTTACTATTACGAGTTTTTATAGACAGAAAGTAAGTTTAATATAATAAAAAATAAATAATAAATGGCTGCAGCAGTCCCAACACAAATTTTCCATTCGTCTCTACTTAAAAAATACTTATATATTAAATTATATACAGCGTTAACATAAAATATATTTTTAGCAAAAATAGAAGACAATGACTAGAATTTATTAGTAATGCATTGTATATATATATATATATATATATATATATATATATGTGTATGTATACATAAATAATGCTTTATATTTCCAAGGATTTTAAGATAAATTCATTTTTTGGATCCTAATTAAATACTCAAGTTGTATGTACATAAAATATAAAAAGAAACCCCTTAAAACTTAAAATATGAAAATCAATTAAATTAAAAAAAAAATATCTAAAATAATTAAAAAATGAAAGAAAATTTTTTTGTTTTCATGCTAGAGTAGAAAGGTATACTGCAAGTACAAAAGTTCAGTGCATTAAAAAAAAACCCATTAAATTATCCTCTTCCATTTCTTGTTCTTATTTTTTTTTTAATTCTTTAAAATAACATAATCTTCTTTTCTCTTTCGATTTTCATTATACATAGATATATGTATATAAAAAGCAAAACAAACATTATAGAAAATGTTGATTTTAGATTTTTAAAGCATTATAAAAAAATATTTTGAAAATAATTTTCTTACCTGTTAACATTGAATTGAATATTAAAGCTGGAAAATAATGATGAAAATATAAAACTCTACCCATTGCCCAAAATGGTAAATAATGGAATAACCAACCGATAAAAAGCCATGCAGCTGCATTTAAAGATTTTCTTTTAACGTCAACTTGTTCTGAAAAGCCAAAAAAAAAAAACAAAAGTGAAAATCAAATAATTTGATGAAATAAATATTTATTTTTTTTGTTAAACGTAAAATAAAAACTAAATTGGAAAGAAAATTTGAGAAATCAATTTTAATTTTGGTAATGTTGCTGCTAATTACAAAAAATTGGAATTTTTGTATATGAGACACAGAAATACACATTCTAGTATGAGATACGAAATACACAGTTCGTGCGATTATTTAACTAATGCCACGATAACGGTTAGGAATTAACCACGATAAAACTGTCGTATTCTTGTTTGTACTTTTAAATTTTAATATTGTACTCTGAATATTTGTAAAATATATGATAAATTCACTTTTGAAGTTGTATATCAACTATATTTAAAATACTTTTTTGGACCCCATATACATTAAGCTATTGTTCGGACATTTACTTTTACAGAAAATTTGTGAAAATTTGATAAACTAAGCTAAATAACTACATTGTTCTTCATTGTTTCCTAAACTAAAAAAATTTTTCAATACAAAAGATACATAGAAAATTTTCAGTAATTTAAAATAACTTTACAATATTTTCAAACCTATTCAAACCTACATACTTTACCTTGAAATTTGCTTTAATATAATTAATTTTTCAGATTTATGTGTCAATTATAAATGTCTGCTAAATTTAATTTTAAATCAATTCATTTTCTATTATTCAATGTTGTAAGAATTTCACATTTGACATTTTAAAATTCCGTATAAAATTTTAATTAGGAAAATAGAACAAACTTTTATGTGGAAACAATACATATGTATGTATATACATTCATAATAACGCAGTCAGTACATATACACAAACACGTATATGCATAAAAATTAATTATTTTCCCAAATGGAATTAAAATATTTAATATAAAAAAAAAATTTTTTCTTAACTTAATTATTATGTCCTGTACTGAAAATATGCAATATTAAAATTATTTTTCAATATATTTGTATATATGTACGTTAAGCATTTCTATATTATTAAAACATTTTATTTTATTCATAAATAGTTTTCTCTACTATTGTATAAATTTTTATTGTTATTACAGAAAATACTTATACACTTAATAGAGAATGATGATTTAATAATAATAATGTAAAAATATTTTTCTTTTTCTGACAAAAATCTATCTATTATTCATATAGAATGTAAGAAAACAAAAACATAACAGGAAAAAAATCAAATTCTTATAAAATAAAAATTATAATAAATTCATTTAATATTAGAAAATTCTTTTCATATTTATTCATTCATCCATAAGAATAGCACAAAAATGTAATAATAGTAAATATCTGGAGTAATTTTTTGTAGAGTCTCTTAACAAAAATTATTACAATAAAAATAAGTATTATTGTGTTTTTTTGTTCTCTCTTTTTTCTTTTGTTTTTTGTTTTCCTATAATATAATAAAACCCCAAAGTCATTTGATTTTATATTTAGAGAACTAAAAAACAAAAAAACAACAAAATTCCAAAAATAAAAGACTTAAATATTTTACATACATCCGAACCACCTCAGTAGTGGTGGTTCATAGAAAATTTGCAAAAACATAATTATTTTTCATTCACTTCAGTCCTAGAGGCTTAAAAGCATAAAAGGACATGCAAAATATGTTCATTTATTGTCATCACGAATAATGAAAATACAATAACTTAAATTTTTTTTTCTCTCTTTCTCTCTCTCCCTCTGTCTCTTTCTATCTATACTATATTTGTTTTCTCTAATTTTTACTTTCTCCTTTTTATTTTTTTTTAGTTAAGATCTAATTTTATTAGAAAATATGTTTATTAGAAAACCCCCATCAAAAAAGAAAAAAAATCTTTTCATTATTTTTAAAATGACAAGAAACGTATAAAAGGAATGAAAAACAGGACAATTTTTAATGTAAATTTAAAATTTTTCGAAATTCTAAAAAAAAAAATTATTTTAATAGAGTAACATGTCATGATTGTAATACAAAATGCTACACAATAACTTTCCAAGAATATGAACATTAGAAAAACTTTGAAAAAAACTGGAAATATGAATAACAGGTGAAAAATTCCCTTTGGAACCGGAAAGTGAAAATTTCGGGTTGACAAAGAAACAATTTTAAAATTTTTAAATATGATCACAACAGCAGTTTCGAAATAATGTAGCATGCACAACTCTTTTTGATATGAAGAAATGATCCGTAATTCTTGGCAAAAATGTTGGATGTCAAATTGTATAATACATTACTCATATTTTAATTATCTATTTTGCCATGATCAATAAAATTGATCACATTGGGTGATTTCATTTTTAAAATATTTTAAAATTAAAAATCAGAAACAAACAAATTCAATGAGCGTTAAAAAAAATGCTGTAAATAGTTTTCCAAACAAAATCATTTTTTTAACTACTTATACGATAGGCGCAAAAATGATTAAATATTTACGATTTTTGTAAAAAAATAAGTTCATAATATTTCCGTATGTTGTATAAGTTTTAAATAGTACCGTAATTCTCGTAAAAAAACAATCCAAAAAAAGAACAAATGCATAAATTACAAAAATAATTTTTAGCAAATTTACCAAAAACTCTACAACAATCAACAACCTTAAAATATAAACAAAAATAAAAGTCATGACTTCAGTACAACATTTTATTAATTTTCACTCTTTCCAATAAAAAAACTTCCAATTTTGCTGTTCCTCGTTGCCAATATTATACACAGTCGATAAAATTAAAATAAGTGAAGCTCAAACTAAAAAGAAAGCAATAACGAGCCAAAATTATACCGGAGCAAAAAAATAAAATGAAATAAAAAAAGTAATAATAATAAGAAAATCACAGAAAAATAGTAAAAGAAAATAAATAAACGATGGGAAATGAATCTTTACGACTTTTTAAAAATAGCAAAAACAATGTAAAAGAATAATCAAAAAAAAACAAGCAAAACTAAAAACAAATTAGCATACCAACATGTACTTGGTCTTAACTATTGAATAATTTCACGTAAAACTCGTTAGCATCGCATAGACCTTTTATAAGGAACAATAAGAGAAGAAACAAAATAAAGACACAAAAGGAAAAAAAAACTCAGTTTTTCACTACGCTTTTTAAATGACGTTCTGTTCATTCCACTTCATTGACATGACCATCAGGATTATTAAGGGATTCATGCTATTATTAAAAGTACAAGAATGAAGAAATAAAAAATTTACAATAACAATGACCGCAAAAATTTGTTGGATCAAAATGGTTTAACATTATTTTGTTTCTTATTTTTTTTTTTGTTTTTTCTTTTTGAAATTGTACTTTCAGTAAATAATAGATACGAGCATAATTGAGTCATTAAAATAATTCTTTATATAAAAATTTTAATGGAATATAATTAATTTAGTTTTTTTCTTTGTTTTTAGTTAATTTTTATTCACTCATTATATGGTAGGTATATATAGGGCAAATGTATATGTAAATGTTAATGAAACAATTTGAACAATTTTCTTTTAAGCTTTTCTTTTTGAAAATAGTAAAATCTAATTTATCAGTGTTTTCTGTAAAGACTTATAGTTAATTGTGAATGAGTTGAAAAAGAAAACAAAAACAGATTTTAGACAACCATCTTTCACAAATTCTTAAAATTCTAAAAAAGATACTCTTAAAATTTACGGTATTATAAATTAAACAATAACTAAGTTATAGAAACTCTATTGTATTATATATACGTAACTAACATACAATTACGAAATCAGGAAGTAATAAGTAAGAATGCGAAGTTCCTGCTATTATATCTCAAGCAATTTACTTAAATCTACTCTTTACTACTACTAATAATACTTAAAAGATGCTATTAGTCTGAAATATTTTAAAAACAATCCAAATTTCTTTCAAAACATTAATAGGTTATAGTACGAAGTCAAACTAATTTAGTAATGATAAGTTATTGCTCCTATTTAAAAGCAAAAATGTTGTGTATTATTGTCACTACAGAAATTATTAGGAATTAAGGATATAAAATAAAACAGAAATTCAAGCCTAAAGATTACAAAATTAGAATAACAAATTTTTTGGTGTTCTATAAAAAAAATTGTTAAAAGTTGCTGCAGTAAAGAAAGTAAATTGCGCTTCATTTTTTTTGTACAATATTCCTGTAAGAAATTCCTCTCATCAGTTAATTTTACTTGAGACAAAATCACATCAAGATCAAGACCGCGAAACTATCGAGACTATTTGAACATGAGAGTGAAATTTACAATATGGAAGTGATTTTCAGTGAAGGAGTTTTACTTTTTGTTAACAAACATTAAATATAAAAATCAATTCTCAATATTGTTTCTTATCTTGCGAATTCTCGATTTCACTGCTTTTTACTAAAATCCACCCCATAAATAGTTTAAAGAATCTTAGAATTTGGATATTTTGAAAGAATGTGATTTAGTTTTGCCACCCAAATTTAATTTTAATTTACCTAAGAAGAAACAAAATAATTTTGATATTTATTAGGCCCCATATTTAAGTACATCTGATACCAAATTGATGATTATAGAGTTATGCTTTAAAAATATTAATTAAAATGTGTAGATTAAATGTTTTTAGGCATTTTGATTCGATTTTTCTTTTCAAGAATTAAAATTAATGTTTTTGTTTTTTAACCTCCTGATCTTATCGAAAATAAATATCAAAAACACCCGACTCTTTAAAATTCTTTTCACTTAAGATAACCTCTACTTTTTGATAATTATTTAGTGGTCTCACAAAAGCAAAACGAGAAAACGTGAACAATATGAAAAAAGAGAATTTAAAATCTTCAAAAAAGGATGTCTTGATGCCTTTCATTTTATCTATGTATGCACATATTTACATTTTCTTTTGAAAAATTTAATAAAAAAAAAAATCATTTCAAAAAAAAAAAAAAAAGCTTTTTCTTTAGAAATTACCATTCTTCGCTGATTTACTGATTATGATGGTACCACCAGTAACACTACTATTTTTGATGCTATTGTCAGTAATATTATTATTTTTTTGATATTTTCGCTGTTGCAAATTAGGATCCCTGCCAATATCTTTGCTATCAGTACCATTTCCTTTTTCATTAATAATATTGTCATTATTGCTTGAGAACGTTGAAATAGAATCATCATGTTGTTTAAGTTTTTGATTTTGTTGTTGCTGTTGTTGTTTCTGATATTTTCGAATTTGAATCCCTTTTTCCGTTTTATGTGTATCTGCACTTATTATTTTTGTTGTAGAAGCATCAGTTAAAATTGTTGAATATTTACTTATTTTACTTGTCTTTATATTATCATCTCGGTTCTCCTGTTGTTCCTCTTCAGCTAATTCAGTTATTATTTTCTCTTTTATTTTTATTTTATCCTTTTCTTCTTTTTCCATCATTATTCTTTTTCTATTAAAATGACCTTCTTGACGTCTTTCTTTAATAGCGGTTATAAAGAAAACGATTAAAAACAGTAACAAAAACATTAAATTGCTCCACCAGATTATTGGATTTCCTAGCAAATAGATACGATAAGGAGGTCCCGAAAAGAATTGTCCCTGTTGGAAAACAAACAATATTATATTAAATAAATAAGTATATAAATATATTTATTATATACATAATAACGTTTAATATTGACTATATAATTATATATATGTATATCAAAATTTAAATAAAAAATAATAGTAACAAGCCAAATGTTAAAAAATAATAAAAGTTAAAAGAATATTTTAAGGTATCATAAAATTAAATGAAATAAAAATTGTATAGAGATTAAAAAAGCTAATAGCATTTATTCACAGGGGGACTATACATTTTATATACACAGCACTATTCTAAAATTTTAATAACTTCTCGCGAAAATTATTTTTATTTTTTAAAAAAAAAAAGGAAACAGACACGTTTTGCAACATTTCGTTAGAAAACATTTGGTGTTTTATGTTTCATAACTTCTAAAAATTAATGATAATGTTAAGTAACATTTAAGGACTTTTGATGTGATAGAGGGAAACTTTATAATAATTGGGATATTTTCATAGTAAAATGAACAACAACAAAATAAAAGTTATTATTTGTGTTGTTTTTGTGCTTTTTGAAAAACGACTTTCTGTCTTTTAGTCTTTTTTACTTGTTGGTCAAAATATGAGTTAATTTTTAATATCGTTTAATTTCCCAGTTGTATAGCCTCAAAAATATAATAATTCCTTAATTCTCTCTTCTCTTATGATTTTCCAACATTTTTATTTTATATACGACTTTCATTGTTTAACGTAGATTTAGTCTCCAACCAAATTATTGTAAGTAATAAAGCCGAAATTTTTACAAAATATAGTAAAACATAAATATAGCTATCTACCATTTATATTTTTAAATGTAGGCACTTTTATTTAAGTGTTTTAGTAATGTAAACAGCCTATTTTAAATAAGCATAAATTTGAAAATTAAGTACGAGTATATGAAGAATTCTAAGAATTTTCAAAATAAAAATTTGAAATGTCAATAAATTTCCTTTATAATTACATTGAATGTTCATTTATTACTTTGCATATTTTAATAAATTTTTAAATACATAAGGTGGGTAGAATTTTAGATTAGATATAGAATTTTTTGTATATTACGAGTATATAATAGTTATGAATATTTTCATTATTGATGTTGATGGATAATAAATTTTAATCATATAAAAATGTGATGTATTCAAAAAATGAAATCGTATCAAATAAATTAAAGATTATAAATGAAAATTTGGGACCAACAAAAATCCTTAGTTTCTTCGTTACAAATAGTTTTTGACTCAATTAAGAGATTCCGAAAAATATATGGGTAACTAAAATTATAATTTTCGATGAAGTTTTCGCAAACTTACTCATCAACCGTTAACCTTATCAACCCTGTATTATCCATACAAATAAAAATGATTTTAAGTGTTGGAGATAGTTAAAATACATGTTTCATATAATCTAAATAGGGTTCTGGCATTTACTATAATAAATTATTTGTGTAAATTTGCTGAGCTTACAGATTTGGTGGTAACAGACGGGCAACATTGTTAAATCGACTCAAAATTCGACGTTCATCAAAAATATATGCTAGAGTCTATACCTCAGACCATTATTTCTCAGCGTTGCAAACGGTAAAGGAAATTTTGTATACTCTCCGAACTTACATTCGTACGGTTATAACAAATGAACCGCATTAAATGCATTAAGACATATGCAGTATATAAGAGTACGGATAGTGGATTATCATTGCCATTAGTCCTTTTGAATTATAAGTAGAATACATATATAAATTTAATGCATTTTATAAGCATTTTCATAGAAAGTATGCCCTTTGTGTAATAAGTTAAAATACATTAAAGGTCATTTCATATATACCGGAAGAATTCAAGACATTTAAAAAAAAAAATTAAACAAAGAGAGACTGAAATACTAGACAATGGCGTCTCTATGAAACGCGTTTTTTTTTTAATTTTAATAAAAGCAAGAAAAATTGTTCTTTGGAACAGTGGAAATACTTATCCAAAGAACAAAAAATAATTGTATTTTATAACTTTGCACAAATTTCTTATTCTCCATTCTTATATACAATTTTTTTTTTGTATCTTTCACTCTGATAAATTTGTCTTATAATTTTTTATGATACTTTTGCTTTATCGCATTTTCTATAATTATATCGTATATAGATTGAGTCCTTTAAAGAAAACGCAAAAAAGGAAAATCACACTACTGCCTACATCGTTATAAAAAATTTCATTATAGAGTAAAAATTCGTTAATTTTTATTAAAAATAAATTTAATTTGGCAAATTAATTAAAAAAATCCTCGCGCATCAAATTAACGAAAGGCAAAAATTATAGTGTAAAAATAACTTTTAACGTTTTTTATTATTAAATTAAAAATATATATATATATATATATATACCGATGATTTCCCATTAAAATCGCGGAAATTTTTTGATTATATTTTTCGTTCCGTTGAATTAATTCAATTTAAAAACGAAAATCAATAAAAAAATATGGTGTATTTTGCAAATAAGGCAGCACAAAAAAAAAATTATAAACGTGACATTAAATTAAATTTGGAAAAATTAATTAAAATGAAAAACAACAACAATTTCATTTTATTCTTGTAATTATGTAAAAATATTTAAAAAAAAAATGCTGAAAGTTGATAACATTAAGGTGAAATTGGCGTTCACATTATTAATGAAATTTTAATTTTTTACCATTTGGCAAGACACAAATTCATTAAAAAAGTAACTAGGTACTAAAAAAAAATTAATTTGTAATTGTAATAAAAAGCAAACTTTTATTTTGCAAAATTTATTTCGCAAGATCAATTCCAATTAAAAAAATAATATAGTACGAATAATAATATCTTTTTGATAATTTTTGTAAATTTTTGTTTAAATTACTTATTTCTGAAAAATTATTATCACAATAAATCGTCATTAACAGTTAAAATTGGAGATTATATTGGCAGCATGTATTCACTTATAACCTAACTTAAAAAGAACGTTTAAAAAGAACTTTACAACACGAATTAATAAATTTCCGTGTCCGCAATTTCCCAAAAATATTCTTTTCAAAAGAAGCTCTGCTTCGGAAAAGTGCATTTATAGCTTCAAAAATACACATATCGCATATTTGCGAGAACAGTGACATAAGTCAAAATGCAGGATCGCAAACTTACTTTTAATACTATTATATTTTAATATATAAAACTTTTCTATAGAATAGTTTTATACCAATTTCTTTTAGCTTTCGATAGTCATTCACACTTGGCTATACATTCTTTAAATTCCGAAAATCGAAGTTATATATTTTTGAGTTGTGTTTTTCTTCCCAATGATATATTAGTTTTGAAAGTTTATTAAAAAAACATAATGTAAAAGCAGGCCCGGTGCTGACTGGTTCGGCACCCTACGCGAATAGAAAAATAGGTCAATTTTAAAAACTTACTCTATAGTTGATTGGCCATTGCCATGGTCTACTTGTTACTTCTCCTTCTTTTGGTTTAAGACCAGCATTACCTTGAAACATAACAGCATGAGATTCAAGAAATCTTTCAAAAAATCCTGGTCCATATATAGCAAAATTGACACTTGGTACTAAAACAAAAAGAGAAACACAAATTAGATTTTAAAATTGGTAATTGTTAAGTAAAAAACAAATAAATTTAAGTTATTTGAAAAAAAAATTTTGGGTCTATTTAATTTAAATTTTTAAATTAAAATTTATTTTCAAAATGAAACTACCACAAAATCTTCAAGTTCTTATTTTAATAAATTAAATACAACATTAATAAAACATTAATAAAATATAAAATAATTTTTATCAATAAAAGGACCGCAAAGAAATAATTAATTACAAAAAGTTTTTTTAAGGAGCGCCGGTTGTTCTTATATAGACTTAACAAATTTAATTAGTAGATGCTACAGCAATTAATCATTTAATTTTTATTTTCAGCTTTTAAACGGTGCAAACTTATGCAACTCAGTGTATTGCAACGCAAAAGAACAAGAATTGTATGCATTGTCGCATCATCTTAAATTTTTAATCATTTTCTTTAACATTAGTTTATAGCATATAAATACTTACAATTTTCATTAATATTTTCTTCAACATTCCAAAATGCATTTTTATCTCTTACATTAGGATTACATGTTACTTCTTGTTGCTCAAAACCCCATACTGGTAATTGTTTACCAGTTGATGTTAACGCACAATTTTGTAAATAATGTACTAGAATAAATTTTGTAGTTACAGTCAATACTGTATCATTTTCCTTCCCACCAACAATAAATATTCTCCAAACATCATTAGCATCACCTACACCATCCTAAAATTAAAAAATTAAATCAAAATTGGCTGTACTACATAACATGTCAATAATCATAAAATTTAATAATGTGAACAATTTTCAAAAAATTTTCTAAAAGGCTTATAAATAATATTATATTAAATAAATATTGCTAAATAGAATTGAACCGGTCCTATACTTTTTATTTAGGTACTGCACTATACCGAAGCCTACTTTAGTTTTAAATTGAAGTTTGAGTTATTTTCACGTAGAATTGCTTTTTATTTTTCTTAATTCGTTATTGCTACAACTGCTGATTTATTAGTTCCCAAGTAGCATAGAAGAAGCATATATATTATTAAATTTGATAGTAACCAGCTGAAATTATGTAATTTTTAGATATATGTAATTTTTTGCCTACATATAAATCATCTAAAGATAAAAATTGGCAATCTTAATCCCTTAAGTAAGTAATATAAATATTTTTTAATTTTGTACACTTAAGTAAATTTAAGTCCGTCTTTTTTTCTAAATACATACCTACTTATATTTTACATATTTGTAGCATTCAAATATTCCCTTTAATATTTTTTTCATAGCCATTCAAAAATCCACTCAGAAGATATTATATCGCCATATATTATATCATAAAATAACCAGTACATAATATCATTTATAAGTACAAACATAACGTAAAAATATTACACATATCACTACATTATGTGCATCTAAATATTATACAAGATTAAAATCGTAAAATATTCATTAAATAAACAATTTTATGTAAGGTAATCTATTCTAAATACTTCATCATAAAATTAGAAAAATGCTACTTCTATAATATTATTACATGCTCTTCATATCATTTATAAACTATATTTGTTATTACATACTTATAAACAAAACGAAACAAAATACAAAAAAAATATAATATGAACATAACGGAACGGACAATAAATGGTGCTGGTCCCAAATTATAACAACTCATATATAACAATAGTGACTACACTATTTTATGCTCTTTTTATTTTTATCCTTTTATATTGCCTTTTCCCCTATGTGTACACAACACACTATATTTACCATATGAAACCTTAATTCTTGTACACTATTTGTATACACCAAAATCTTTTACAAAACAAAAATTTATAATAAGATAAGTACAAAAATATAAGTAAGTAAAATATATCCTTTTTTTAACCACATCAAAAAGGATACTAGAGAGAAAAAAAAGCTAACAAAAATAGCAAGACAAATAAAATAAAATATAAAAAAAAAATATTAAGAATAAACCAAAATGAAAACAAAAAATGTTTTATTACCTCTCCATAGCCAGTAACCTGATGATGCTTTTTAGTTAATGGTGCCGGTTCTCTATGTGAATGTAAATTACGTCTAGTAGGTACATGTTCTAGACGAACCAAATCACCATGTTTAAGAATTTGCACTCCTGGACGAGATTCTACATCATAATGCTTCACTCCCCATTTATTGTTGTAATCTTTGTGTGTATAAGTTGTTATCTAAGAATATAAATATTATTAATGAATGTAGAATATATCAAGTACGTCTACGTCTATGTGTATACATGTTTATTCTCTAATAATAATAATCACACAGAACTCTCCAAAAATTTTCAAAATAAAAACATGAATAGTCATAAGATTTTATATAATCAAATATATTATGTAGTTTTTTTAAGCTTTAATTTACTAAAAAAATAGCTCGTTGTTAAATTTCACTACCACAGTTTGATAATTTCCCGATATAATATTGATAATTTCCCGATTATGCTATTGAAACCAATTTTCACTAAATTTGTTGCGATCTTAAAACTAATTATTATCGTAATACAAAATTTTATTTAAAATATCAAAGCATGTTTCGGATATACCCAAGTTAAGTTTAGGCCTCTATTAGTAAATAAATAATGTGCCTATACATATGTTTTTATTAAAACATTTTATATCTATACCCATATTTGATTGTTTAAAAATTTTTGGATCGTCCTACGGACAGCTTCAAATTTTTGAACTATGTTTGTGTATTAAAAAAATTGGTATAGAAATATTACACATTCTCAATATTTAGAGCAATTTAAAGACTAAAGTTCTTTTCTTTTGTTACCATTTCAATTATTTTTTTGCAACTTCAGAAACATTTTATTCTATTTTCTTCTTTTTTATATTACTTAACCTTGCTATATTTTATGTACATACTCAGAAAAAATTCATTTATGATCGAATGTATAGCAATAACAGTTAGACAAAAAAATATTAAGTGTAACAAAAATTCTTAAAATATAGATTGAGAAATATTTCTGTGTCAAACAATAAACTTGGTATATACTGGAATGATATTGTTAGAAATTCATGTAACTAGATAGTTCTTACATGCTGTTCATTTTGAATGCACACATTATGTATTGTCACATATGCATATAATAAAACAAACATGTATAACAGTACGCTTTGAAAAATTTTTAAAATTGCACGTAATTCTGTAATTTTTTAAATGCCTACTAATTGATAAAACTTTAATGTAATTTTAAATTACAAAAAAAAAAGTCCAAGTGCAAAATGGAAATCACCATTGGAAGAAATGCTAAATAGCCCCTCTATTCGATTACAAATTTTTTCTTTAAGGAAAAAGAAATATTTTACAAAAGTATAAAAAAATGTTTAATTTAACTTTCGAGCTAATTAAACATTTTTGAATTTCGAGCTATAATATAAATTATTAATTATTATTAGCAAAAGAGTAATAGAAAAAAATTATGTGTAACGAGAGTAACCCTAAAGACTCTAGCAAACAAATTCTCTCAATCAATTCCCTACCAAGCTAAATAAAAATGCTTGGAAGAATAATTAAGTATAGGTAATCGTTTTGTATACTTGGTTAACGGAGCAAAATAACATGTGTTAAGTAGAACGAAACAAGAAATACTTTTTTATTTTATTCTTATTTCTTATTATAATTTCGAAAATTAATTTTCAAGGATGCAGTCTACAAAAATATTCTTATTTACATAATTAACTAAAGAAATTTCGTTTTTATATGTATATGTGTACTATATATGTATATATTACTCACCTGTTGTTGTCTACTTCCAACACCCTTTGGATATAAATGTGAATGTGAATGCAAATAACCACCGCCTGTTTTACGATTTTTTATTGTAACAATTGAACCATATGCTACTTCCCTTGGCATACTTGCATTATACAAAGAATTACCAATTAGTCTAGACTGAAATCCTGAACTATAAAATCCATCACCATTACCGCTACGATTTAATACTATTAAGTGGATATAAAAGAAAGTTATATATAAAATGATTGGCCATATGATTAAAGTGATTCCACGGCAAATTAACTGTTTAATTGTCTCAGTCTATAAGGAAAAAATTTAAACAAAAAGGATACATGAAAATAAAGAAAAAAAAATAAAAGAGAAAAAAAGAAAAACAAAATATAATAGGGAATAAAATCAATGAAAATGCTTTTGTAATAAAAAAAATTTTGCTTATGTAAATAAAAATTAATAAAAATCAGGTTAATCAATATCCACAACTTAATCAACAATAACATCATTTGAAAAAATCCTAAGAGAAATTAAATGCGTACACTTACACATACTTTGAATAAATTGAGTCTTTGTTAACTTTTATTTACTCATTTAATTTAGATTTTATGAAACTAATTCAAGATAATGAAACTAATTCAAGATAAGGTAAATTTATGATTTTATTTCTAAAAATACATACACTTACTTATATATGCATGTATATGTTTTATATTCTTACTCATTTCTAGTAAATTTCTGAAAAATATTCATTAATTCCCACATTACATTTATATTTCATTCTTTTTGTTTCAAATATGTGATTTGTATTTTCTGTACTGCTATATATGTCTACATATATCTTTAACAAAAAAAATCACAAAACAAACTTACAATTGGTTTATTCAGATCTCCCAATATTGTCCATAATTCACTAATTGTGTGTAAACCAACTAAAAGAACAACGAATAATCCAACAAATTTTGTGCTAATTGTACATGATAGCATTGTTCCAGTGAAAAATAACCACAACCACCATGATTTGGTATAAGATTCATTCATTTGTGTTAATTTTGATATTTTAATCATACCCCATACAGAACCAACCATAAAGAATAATAAAATTGGATCCAAAAGGATATATTGATTTAATGTAAGCATACCAACATCTACAAATCATAAAAGAAAGAATAAAAATAAATTGTAGGAAAAACAAAAAAATAATTATAAACGAAAATTCGATTGTAGATAATTAATGTCTTAACTGAAGCAAAATAATCTAATAATTAGACATTGTAAATTCAGACATATGTATATACGTTAAATATTAATAAATTAAATGAATATCAAATTAATAAATAAAAAATTTTACAGATTGAAAAGAATAGAAAATAATATTAAAAGTTACCAAATATTAAATAAGCTGCTGCAATTATAGAAGCTTTATTAGATCCTGTTAAATCCCAAACAGTATCGAATGCCATTGGAACAACTAACGCTCCCAGGGTTGTGCAAAACTAAAAATAAGAATAAATAGGTACAGAAAATTTTTATAAAATATGTGAATTGAAAACAACAATTTGTAAATATAGGTAGGTACTTTAAGTTTGTACGTTGCATGTTTACTTCTTTGTTTTTTTCGAAATCATTTTAAAGCTAGCTAATATTGGTAGGTACCAACCTACTTTTTTTCAATGTAATCACGTTTTGTTTTAAAATTTTAAAAAGGATTTCATTTAATTTTAGCAAAAACATTTCTTCATCTTAAATCAAATGCAAAAATTGGACTTCCTACAACTAATTTTTGAAATTCCAGAATAAAAAAAATTTAAAATCCAAAACCGAAAAGCAAAATGATGTAGAATTGTTGAAAATATAAATGTTTCTAAAATAATTGTTTGAACATTTTAAAATGAAAGCTTACAAATTGTTTGAAATCTTGCACAAAGCAAATATTTATAAATTTTTACGATAATTAGCAATTATGTTTACTAACAAATTCAAGCATTTGCACCAAGATGCTAGAATTATCTGTACTTACGATTCGCATTCCTTCATATCTTGTTTCATTGTATTTATCACCAGGTTTTTCAAACGGATAATTACCATCATAACCAGTAAGTAATCCTGATAAACCAATTAGCATCTATGAAAAAAAGAAAAATAATTAAAGGCATTCAAGCATTACTGATTTTAATATTTCTAAATAAATTGTAAAATAAATTTTAACAGCTTACCTTTCCTAATGGTGGATGAACATCAAAGAAGAAAGTTCGATTAATATACCAACTTCCCATTTTACCAAAATGAGTTTCATCCCAGCTGAAATAAAATAGTAATGGGAATTAAAAATAAGTAGGCTGCAATTTTTTTGTTGAATATGTGTATATGTATGTAGATACACATATAAATAAAAAATTTAAATTTTCGTAAAACTGTTTAAATCACGGATGCTTAAAATTTAATGTCTGTCATTCTATTGGCTTGTACTAAAGCTATTAATAATATAAGTACAATATAAAAGTTAGAACAAATTTTAATTTTAAATAACGCATTGGATATAAAAATTTTGAACAACGCAGAGAAATTACCAAAATTCTTTATTTTTTTAGTAGTATAGTTGGTATGATAGAAAAGTTTCCTTTTTTTTCTTATCATGTTAGTAATTTACCGACACTTCTTATTATGTTAGTAACCACTTACCGACATATTAAAAGATTTTTAACACAATATTATTATAAAAATAATTTTACCATAAAAATGTTAAACTATTTTAAATATTTACTTACCAAACATGGTCCGGTTCGGTTACTTTATAATATCGGCTAAAGAATGTTAAAGCTAGCACTGCAATGAAAATCACCCACCAATTTCTAAATTGTTAAAAAATAGATAAAATTAAAAATTAAAAATTTCTATTGTCAAAATGTGTAAATAAAGTCTTGTAAATCTTAATCTGCATTAGAAAGTTTCTCACTTCATTCTTTCAATATTATTTATTTTTTTATTTTTGTTTGTTGTTGTTGTTTGTATATCGGTTCGGTACACAAAAATAATCACACACACTTACAATTTTTCTGCGGTTTGCAAATTCTCATGAATTTGTTTCCCATTCTGATTTTTTACACTCATTTTTATGAAACAATAAATTTATTTAAACAATTCTAAAGTTATTCAATTTTATTAAAAACTATTATTAGTTTTAACTTAAAATATTTTTATTGAAAAATTTCATTACAACTTTCTTTATTTTTTTTTGACAAATCTTTTAAACACTCAATTTAATCGCTTTCTGATTGTATTCAATTCTAGTCTAGCCTACTCAGTTTTGACGTGTACAAGAAATGAGAAAAATTAAGATATGTTTTTAATTTACGTAGTGTTACCGCTTTATTTTTTCTTAGTCATTAATAAATTGCTAGAGAAAGAAAACGAGACTGGATTTAAGTCAAAGATTTTGAAATATTTAAAAATACATTGTACAATACGTTGTAAATAAAAATATTTTTATATTCATAGAAATACTTTTCAAATTATTCGTATTTCTAAAGAATCAAAAGTTGCTACTGTTATTTCAATAACAGAATGTATTTTAATGTAGTCCAGTAAGGGAAATATAAATTAAACTTTAGAAAGGATTACAGTAGTCACTACAACTTCAATTTCTTCATATTTTTGAATAATGTTCAGAATACGAACAAAATATTGCGCCAGCTATTTGCATAGTATGGTAGCACTAATTTTTGTTATGTTTTGCTTTTGATCAGTTAAGTTGTCTCTCCTAAGTCCTAATATTTTTCAATAATATTACGAGACAAAAGAGCGGGAGAGAAACTGCTTGAAGTTAAAAAGAAAGAAATTGAAGAAAAGAGACTTAGAAAAAGAGAAAAAAATCACAATAATATCAGGGGTGTCACAACTAAATTTTTTCATTAATTCAATTTGCAAATGAAAGTGTATAAATTTTTCAAAAAATTTTTTGATTTATTTATTTATTATGAAATGAATTAGGATTATAATGTCACATGTTACCTATCTATATTCATGGGTTGAGGGTCACTTTCCAAATTATATTTTGCGGCAAGTGACCGTCAGCCCACTTAATACTTATATTTTACTTATAGTAATACAAATGTGACGAAAATCAGGTCTAATTATGTATAAGAAAGAAAAGTATATTTTTTATTTTGCGTCTTTTTTGTTTGAAAAGAACCAGTTGATTCAATTAACCAATCATTTAACTCGTCTAAAATATTTTGTCAAAATCGGTCCAATTTTGATTTAAATATCAAATTGTCATAAGTGAACGGTGCTCTGTTTCAGTTTTAGTATAAATTGAAGTAGTAGCAAAAATAAATGACTTTTTTGTGGATAGTGACCATCAACCTATAATACTAAAAAACTAAAATTTATCATATTCAATTCAATAACACTAGGCTAAAAAGAACCGCAACAAACATTCAAACCTTGTATCGTTCAGTATATTATTTTTTCTATAATATCTTACAAAAAAAAAAAAATTTAAACTACAATCTATGAAAAAGTTTTTTAATACTAAATCATTCACAATCTATAAATTTTTCTTTGGAAAAATTTATTTGGTTTGTGTACCAGATACAATAAATTGGATAAATTTCTATTGGAAAAAAGAAAAAACGTAAGCTTAAACCGGAACAGTATAAGAAGTTTGCTTAACTCTTTAATAACGAAACTGATTTTGTCGGTAGATGACTCTGTAGTCGTTAAAGAGAAATAATGATTTAAAAATCAAAGCCTCGAATCGTATGATTTTAATTTTACGTTCAAAAAGGAATTATCATAATTCAAACACATTTTATCGTTTTAATGTTAATTCAATAAATCTAAACCTCTTGAAGTAGTAATACCCTGCTTTTTTTAAATTTTAAATTACGATCGTTAACTATATTCAGTAAAGTGGTTGAAATATTAGATGGAGTAAATTCGAAATAATTTCGAACTTGCACCCGTATTTTATTTTATAACATAAGTCTGAAAGAATCCGTCATGGTGCTAGTGAAGCGAAGTATTTAAGTTTTTAGTCCTGATTATTGCTTAGTTTTGTTAAAGGAATACATACAAAGTGAAAATTTGAAAATAAAATACGATTAAGATAGCAAAGAACATGCTAACTTTAAAAATACGTCATAAAATTGTAACAAATAGTAGATGTCGTAACCAGCGTTCCCACTTGGATACAATTGTATCCATTTGGATACATTTTTGCTTTAAATTTGAGCTTGGATACAAAGATACTCAAATCTGCTAAAATGCTGAAATTGGCTACATTTTAAAATTTTGCTGAAATATGGATACATTTTTTTTCAAACACTAAATAAATATTACAAAACAGTTGAAATGCTGCTAATATTAAATCGCGAAGTTGCTTTATCTTCAACAAATGTTAATTGCTGACTATTCTAAGCACGTTTCCGAATTTTTTACAAGAAAGTAAAAAAGATGCTTTATTAACTGCCTCTTCCTGTATTCAAATTTAGAACATTTATACAAGAACGTACCAAAAATATTTTAATGTTAGCTAGATGTAATAGAAAATGCATTGGGTGTACATATTTTTTAAAATTTGTCCGTTTTCATGGTCAATCGTCTTTACCGCATAGTTCAACAACTACAGAAGGCATATATGCATATGTTTTTTCTGACCTTAACTTTCACATTTAAAATATAATAGAAGTTGTATGTGATTTCTTAAAGAATTTACTATAAATAACAAAACTCATATTGTGGAATAAAGCAAATTAATATTAATTATGGGTTAATTTGTACAAAATAAGACAACTTATTATAATAATGCTATTTTACGAGGTTGGATACATTTTGGATACATTTTTTTCTCGAAATTGGATACATTTTGTTTTTACCGAGTGGGAACACTGGTCGTAACTATGGATGGTGTGTGTCATTTATAAGATTACAAAGAGTTTTGAATTGTAACAGGGATGTTGCGACTGCTACACTTGTAAATTTTCTATAAGTAGAAGGATAGGAAATAATAGTTGTCAAACGTGGTAATTTTAAAATTCGTATGTATATTTTTTTCAAAATATCGAATAATTGAAATTTTTGTGATTTTTTACTGTTTTAAATTATCTACGCAATTAATATATTATATATTCAAATATATTTTAATATTATTTCATACTTATATTTATTTTCCGAGAATTTTTTAGAAACCTACAAGCTCATTTGTAATAGATTTTTGCATGATTAGAAACTTTTGAGGTTTTGTTATTTCTTAAAGCAGTTCGTAAAGTAATTTTACATTTTTTTTACAATTTCACATTTAATTATTAATGCTCCCTAATCTAAATCAATTTACTTCTTTGCTGTTATTAATATTTAATAAACAAAATCTATAATATACAAAAGATATTTTATTCTATGGCTCAGTTTAAATGGCTCACATGCAAAATATTTATTAACACATACATATGTGACTTAAATGATTGACCGTAATTTATGGCATTATCTAACGCTAACCAAACAAACATTTTATAAACTAATATAAAAGAACGTAATGGGGAAACGTAATGGCTTGCAACGGAAAACAGTGTCAAAACCTATAACTCACTCTATGGTGACACCCTTTGCTTATCAAATGAATTGGTAGCCATAGAAACTTTGATAGTTTATTTATATGACATAAACGGTACTTGTAAACAAAATTCAATTTTTAGCCAATATAGTAAACTCATTTTTTACAATTAAATAAATAATTTTTAAAATAAATTATTAAACTCACAAATATTAGAAAAATATATTTGAAATTGATGTTAATAAAATTAAACCAATAAAAATAATTTGTAGTGCTATTGTAACCTATTAAATATAAGTTCTTTTCCAAATCTATGAAAATAAAGTTGGCTTTATGCGTGTAGAATAGACATTAATGAGAATTAAAAGCCATGAGTGAGTCAACAATCACTGATCCTTCGGCAGATATTAAAATTGATGAAGGTAAAGAATCTAAAAAGAAAAACATTGAAGAAACTGAGGAATCATATGTAAAAGACTACGATTCGGATGTTGAATATGAAAGTTTTGATGAAAGTGAATTATTAAAAAATCCATCTGGAAAAATTGATTTAAGTTTTCCTGAATATCCAAAATATGATGAAGATGGTTTTCCTCCCAGTTATTATACGTTATCTTCAAAAGAGAGACTTTTACTTTTATATGCTGAAAATTTTCGAAAACAATATTTTACATACTATAAAAATGTTCGACCATTAGTAATAGCAGTAAAGAATGAATGTGAAGTTGAAAAATTTGTATGCACAACAATACGTCCAACAGCATTCATTTTTCCAACATTATCTACATGGCAAGAGATTTCAAGTTTTGTAGCAGATTTTATTGTATACAAGCCATTAAAAAATCCTATAGGACTGGTAAGTGATTAATTACTTCTATAAAAAATAGAAAAAAAATGAGGGCAGAATTTTTCTGTCTTTAATTTTATTCAGTTTATGTTTAAAAACCTCAAGAAATGAACATTTCTTGAAGGACTCTATTCAATTCAAACTTCTAAGAAATCTAAATTTTAATCTAAATTAAGAAATTTTTGAAATTTAAATTTTTCTAGTTACTGACCAATTTTTTAATTAATTTCTTTTGTAAATACTTTGGCCACTCCCCACTTGTACCGTGCCATAATTGTTTCTATCTCAACCTTTTTTCTTTTATTTTCCTATTAATATAAAAGAAAGTAAGGTATTTCAGAGAATGATTGTGTATACGGTTTTTTAGTCGCCAAGTGAGAAAGTGAGTAACAATGTGCCACATACTTGTATAATGTAATTTTCAAGTGAGAAGAATTATTCCGTGTTGCGGATCTCGTTTTTCTTTTTCTAAAAGATATACAAAAGTTATTCACTTTTTTTCTTAAGGTAAACAAAATACCACAGTCGATAATTTGAGAAAAAATGTAAAAATCCAATTGAAAAAGTGAGTAATCCTATTGGAAAAATGAAATATTCGAAATATCCATTAGAAAAACGAAGGATTCTGATTTGAAAGTGAATAAAAAGAGAGATGAAAAAGCAAAATACGCGATGAGGCCCTTCAATTAAAAAAATTATGTTCTGATCTTGGCATATTAATTTGTTCTGATTGGCGTTGCAAATCGCATAAGTAAGAAAAAGAGGAAAATTTCAGCAGTTTTCAAAGTGTTCTGAACATTAACATTTTTAGGGCATATTGTAAAATAGAGTACGAGCTGTAATATAGATAATCTAAAATATAAAATTAATTAGAATTAATAAATATAATTTTTTTTTTTTTTCTTAAATAAACATTTATTTACGTATATCAATCAGTTCAAATTCAGTGTTTGTTTTCATTTTTTGTATTTTTTGTCTTTTTTTTGTTTAAAGAAATAAATTTTTTATATCCTTTTATTTTTTTTTTTTTAAATTAATTTTAATTTTTTTGAAATTTTTCTGTTTTTTTTTTTTAGTTTTAATTTTAAAGAATTGGAAGATATTTTTCTTTTTAATTATAATAATTTATAATAATTAATTATATAATTTTTAATAATTATGTCTAGCATAATTAGTTTATAATAATATAGTGTATGTATGTGTGTGGATGTGTAATTTTTATTTTTTTTTAAATATTCAATTTTTTTCTTTGATTTTATAGTTTTGAAATAAAATAATTTTATTTCACTTTTTTTTAATTACATTTTACTTTTAAGTAACTTGCTTTTATTTTTACTGTTCTTACTACATCATTTATATGGAATAAAATAAATATTGTTTCTGTTTTTTTTGTTTGGTTTGATTTTCTATATATTGTTATTTGAAAATAAAATTGGAACGTGATTGATTCTATTTTCTATAAAATTGTATGTATAGAGATTTAAGATTCATATTATTTTATTATTTATAGTATAACAGATGAAAATTCTAAATTAATTTTTTTTAAGTAAAGAATGGCATTTAAAAAATTGAAAATGTATTCATTTTCGATTTGGTTTCACTTCAAAATATTTTAAATTACAAATTTTAAATAATATTCAGTCGTTCGAGTTATAATAAGTAATAATCTGCTTTACTTAAGCAGCTTAAATGCTTAAGCCTTTTTGATTTTAAATAACCGTATTTTAAAAGATTAAAATCTTAATTTATATATTAGTTCTTAAATTTTAATTTCAAATTTTAAATTCACTCAATTTGTCAATTAATAAAATAGTGTACTACTATTAGCAGCACCTTCAAGGGTTTATGATAATTTCTGTTTTTTTTCATAATATTCAATTAGTAATCATAGACAAATTTTGGTATAGAACTTAAACACTGCACAAGGGCGAGAAAAAGGCGGAAATGTTAAAAGTTATGTGTGCTAAAAATATTTGTTAGTATACGTTAATAATTATTTATAAAGTTATTATAATAACTTAAAAAGCATATACATGCTTTATTGAATACCCGTATTGGCTATTCAATGTTTTAACGTATATATTGATGACAAATTATCACTCACTTTTTGAACATGCCAGCTGTTAGGAAAAAATAAAATTTGAAATATTGAAACAAATGACTTTTAATTTTATGGTTATCATAATAAATTTTATGTTAATTATATTGTTGTAGATGTGATTTTTAACCAAACATTTTATTAAAGAGCACACTATTTGAATATTGCATTAAACTACACTATAATAATTTAGGAATGCCGTTTTCATATTTCATATTAATTTTTCATTTCAAAATAATTTGTTTGTTCAATTTATATATTGTTCTCTAAAATATTTTACTGTTATACTTAAAATAATTAATAAAATCATCTATACATATATTTTTTGTTTGTTTAAAAGTTTTAAGTTGAAAATTATTAAAACTTTGTTCAATAATATCGAATTCTTGACTTATCAATATCAATTGTAAAATTTAGAAATTTAAAAAATTTAATTTTTTTTTTTTTTGCCTTTAATGTGATTTTGAACAAATTAGTAATTCAAATAGATACAATTGCTAAGTGCTGGATAATATGAAATTTAATGTTATATTAAAAATAATACAAAATATCGCATATTTTGTTTGGTAAATATTCTACTTGGTATTTTTAAGTGCTATTTGTTCTCTTTATTGTGTGATTTGAAAAATAAAATAAAATAAATTTAATTCAAATTAAATATTTTGTAATTAATAAATCCATTAATTTCCAAGTAGGTAAAATCAATTAATTTTCAAGTAAGAGGGAAAAAAAAGATTTTTTAACTTTCTATTCAAATTGAAATGCAATTACAAAATTGTTTATATGCAATTTTTCACACACTTAGCATTTTGAGAATGGAAAACAAAAGTTAAGAATTAATAATTAAGGTGCCAAAAAGCATTTGATAAAGATAAAGTATAAAGAATTGCACGAATATTCTGTGAAATTTAAAAAAATGAAAATATTTATAATAGGAAAATAATTTTTTTTTTTTAATTTTTATCGAACAAAGTTATTTACAAGGTTATTTCGTTTTAAGAGATTCTTGAAAAATGTATTTTTTTTTCTTCTGTTATTCTATTTATTGTTATTTTATGAATATTAATTTTACAATAAAATTAAAAAACAAAATTAACAAAAATTCTTAAAATTTTAAAAGATAAAATAAAATTATTTTGGAAATTCAATCAAAAGTAAAACATTCATTTAATAAAATATTGTAGAAGAAAATATAATTAAAAAAAAAACCATAAAAATATTTTCCAAAACAAAAAAAAAATTTATTCTTTTTTTTTTTTAATTCAGTTTATAATTTGTTTCCAAATGTTTTTTTTTAATTATTTTTATTAGTTTTTTTTTTGTACATTTTGTAAAATTAAAGTTTGTTTTTCATAAATTTAAGGATTTCAAGGAGTTTTTTCTTTTTGTTTAGGAATATTTTTTTTTGTTTGTTTTTCTTAATTTTTTCCTCTCTTTTAATACATAGGTAATTTGTTTTTTTTTTTTGTTTTTATACTAAAATGAATCATAATTTAACTAATAACATTTTTTCTATATTTTATAATAATTAATAATTAGTAATTAATTAATTAATAATTTATAATATCAATTTCTTCTTTTTTTTTATTTTTAAATTCTCAATTATCCTTTTTTATATTAGTTGGGTAAAAAAAAAATGAATAATTGATTTGATTTACTTTTATAGATATTAAATATAATTTTAAATATAATAGAATTTATTTACATAAAAAATAATTCTTAAAATCGTTTTTTGTTTTTCTTTTAATTTTTAATTTTTGTAATGTTAATGGATTTTGTTATTCTTTTTTAAAAAAAATTTACAATATAATTCTCTTTTTTTTTTCTTTTTATTATGTGTGAATTAATGATATTTTTGTTTTTTCTTTTTTTTTCAAATAGAATATTAAAAAGTAGAGACCTTTTATTTATATATATATTTGTATATATGTATATGTATAAGTACATATTTAGTTTTGTTTTATATTTTTAAATTTACTAGGAAATGGTTCACATATAAATTACATAAGTATTATATGTTTATTATATATAATAAAATTTCTTATTTTTAATATTTATTTCAAAGTATATAATATCTACTATATATTAAAATTTTTTGTTTTTTTTTTCATATTTTTTTAATATTTTTTAAATACATTTAAATAAATTTAATTTTTATAATTTATAAATTAAAACATATGTTCATAATAATTAATTAAAAAAAAAAAGTAATTATATTATTCAATAATTAGAAAACTTAAACAACAAAAAAAAAAAATAGTTAAAATACAATTCAATTCATTTTGTATTTATATAATTTTATATATAATTAATATTTATGTACGTATGTAGATAGTTTTTTAAATACAATTTTTTTTTCTATCAATAATATAATTTGTTATTACTCATGTAAAAATTTCAATATTGATGAATTTTTGGTATTAATATGAGAAATATTTTTATTTGATACCATAAAAGATGTTTTTTTTTTTCGGAAAATTCTTTCTACTTTAATTAAATTTATATATGTATAATATAATAATATAAATTATTATGTAAATTGATTTTAAATGAGTTTCTTTTTTTTTTGCTTTATATTTATATTTTTTTAAATTTCCAGAGAATTTGTGGAGAAAATGCCATTGTTACTATTATTATGGTTTAAATGAAAATCTTTTCGATGACGATAATTTATTAAATTCTCAACATATTTATCATCTTCCTTTAAATTATTATTTAATATGATATTATTGTTATGTAATTGTTTTGTTGGATTACAATAATTATTATTATTTTGATTTTTTTTTAATAACAATGATGATGATGTTGATGATATTAACGATGTAGATGATAATGATGATATTGATATTATTGATGATTTATTTTTAGTAGAATTTTGTAAATTTTGATTTTTATTACTATTCATTTGATTGTTATTTAATTTTTGTATGCAATCATCATTATTATTAATATTATTAACAATTAATTGTTGTTCGTTTTTATGAATATCATAACCTTCTTCTAATAAGTTCAATTTTTGATTAAATTTAATATTAATTGGATTTTGATTTATGCTAAAATTATCATCATTTATTTTATTATTTGTGATATTTTCAATATTATTTTCATTTTTGTCAACATTATCATTATCATGTTCATCATCGTTGTAGATCATCATTATACTATTACTTTTGTCATTTTCAAATTCAATTTCATCTCTTATAATGCTTTTAATTTCTTTAACATTTTCATATTTCATTATTACATTATCATCATTAATTAAATTATCATCATTATTAATATTCTCCTTCTTAAAATTTTCTATGTTTTTATCGTTGACAATGTTGTTAATTATTTTGATTCCATTTATTTCGATATGATTTATTTGTTGACAATTTTCATTTTCTGAGCCTTCAATATCATTTTCATCATCAATATCATTATTAGCATCATCATAATTTGTATCATCATATTTGTTATCATATTCCTGTGGTTCTTGTTTCATTTCTTGTATATTATTTATATCCTGTTTTACAAGATTATTTAAATTATCTAAAATATTTATTTTATTATGTGTTATTGCAGTTTCTGCTTTCATATGTAAAAATTTATCATCATATGTTAAATGGTTATTAATATTATTTGTTGTTACTACTGGCAAAGTGAAGGCCAATTTTGGTTGACCCTATTTTCGACGACGAATTTTTGTTCTCTGTTGTAATTGTTGAGAATCAAAATTATTTATTAATTTCTTATTTTCGGTGCCAGCTCTAATCGCTGTTATTAAAAATCTTAATTGCATTAATTGTACAGCAGTTACTCTTGGATTACTACAATTTTCTAACCATTTCAAAAATTTTTCACCATGCTCTAAAGCTTCATACAAGCCGTCAATATCATCGTCATTAATATTTTCGTCACCATATTTATCAATTGAATATTTTTCATCTTTATCTTCTTCTTGATCCGTTTTGTCACTATTGTTATTATTATTATGCTGATGGTTATTATTATTTAAGCTATCACTATTATAACTGGCATCACTTTCACTACCATTTGAATTAAGTTTATACAAGAGATTGTCCAAGGTTTCTTTGGAATTTGTGACAGTATCAGCTTCGCTTTTAACAACACCATCTGGAGTGGTTGTAGAACGTGGACTTTTACTTCCAGTGGATTTTGCTGATAAATCTTCTGGTTTATTATGATGATGATGATGATTATGTGTTGTAGTGATTTCGTTGTTATTTAGGTTATCAATAACACTAGGATCTTTGGTTAAATGTGAATACAAAATATTTTCATATTGGGGTTTCATATCAATGCTCCCGGCATTAATACTTAACGGATTTTGACCACCTGGCGTTAATGTGGTGAGACTAGCTCCAAACGCTTTACACCAGTTAAACCAAGCCGAATTTTTGGTATCATCTGAACTTCCAGATGGTGTGGATGATGGAGTTTGTGGAGTGGAGAATATGGGTGGTGTAGCGCTAGCAGTTTGCTGACCTGCTTGACTTTGTGGTGTTGATGCTCTGATTGGCGGACTTGTGGAGCTTGGATTAGGTGTTGTATACAAATTATTAAGTCCTAACATTGCTTGCTGTGATTTTAACCAATATAACAGTGGATCTTCAATATGGCCATTACGGTTTATTGAAGGTGGTGGTAATGATGGAGATGGGCTTTTCATTTTTGTTTTGTTATCGGAACTTAAATTCAATCCAGTGAAACTATCTGAAGCACCTACAGAATTCGAACGTTGGTCTGCTTGTTGTTGTTGTTGCTGCTGTTGCTGAGTTTGGGGTGAAGGTTGTGCTGCTTGTTGTGATTGCTGTTGTTTGGCCCAATTCTTTACTGTTAAACCTGTTGGAGACGTTTTTTCATTTTCATTTCTTGGACTATGAGCTGGTGGTTTCGGTTTCAAATTACGCAATGTGTTATTGTTTAAACCATTCAAACCAGACATCGCCGCTAGGCTAGGATTCAATTGTGCAATTAAATTTAAATTTGATGTTAATTCATTGAAACTAATTGCTAATGGACTATGTGATAAACCAGTTAATCCTGATAAATGTGATAAACTAGTTAAAGGACTTATTGCAGCCAAAGATGGATCTGATGGTCGTGATAAATCTGCTCCACCAAAACCTTTATTTTTTGCACCATTTAATGCAGCAGCAAAATCTGGATTCTTAAATGCATTGCTATAATCTGGTCCCAAACCATTAAAACCCATTTCTGAAATAGCTTTATTAGCACTAAAGTCTAATCCATTTAATGGACTACGTTTGTAAGCTAACTCGTCATATTTTATTTTATTGGAAAAATTTAATGGTAAAGATGAATCTAACTTTTGACGTTTTTCTTGTGGTCCACCAGCACCACTTAATAAAGCAGCAGCTGCAGCAGCAGCTCCATCAACCAATTTATCAGTAAGTGAGTCAGCTGCCATTTTATCTGGTGCTGATTGACGTGACATATACCGTAATTTTTCTTCATTTTTACACCAACCGCGCAATGTGGATTCTGGTACCCCAATATCTCGTGCCACCGAAGCTTTTGATTCACCATCATGTATCCTTTGTATTGCTTGAACTTTGTCGCTTGGTGTAAGGCTTCTTAACGGACGTTTGCCTTTGGATGTCATCCTGACATTCAAATGTTGATATGTTGCTGTATCCAGTTTTAAGCCGTTCTTTTTCTGTTCACCTGTGAATTAAGAAGAGAATTAAATTTATTTAAAAATTTTTTTATATTGAAATGATAAGGCTGATATAAATATAATTACAATTTGTTTTGAAATACATATGTATGTCTGTATTTTAAATTTAAAAAATTATTTTCTTGCTTCTCTTCGTTGAAATAAATGTTTTTATTTAAAAGCGAAAAAAAATATTGCCGTCAATTTTTTCAAATTTTGTTTATGCCTACTTCATGTTTTAAAAATAGCGAATTAAAATATTTATTATACAAAATTAGTTGTTCATATATGTATGTTCGTACATATTGTTCTTATATTGTAATAAAGTTTAACATTTTTTATATCTTTGCGAAGTTTTTCAATATTTTTTTCTAAACTTTGTAATTTTCTCATCGTCGTGGAGCGTTTTCTATTTTTTAATATACAAAGTTTTTTTTGAACTTTGAAACTGTTTGAAATTTTCGGAATCAATCAAACAGATTAAAAATTGTAATTGTTTTCAATGTAAGAGAATCGTTTTAAATTAACAAAATTAATTGACAAAATTGTATTAAATTATGTTACCTAAATTTTTTTTGGAATTAATTTCTACATTCAAACAACAAAATGTTCAGAAAATTTCTAAAAATCAAAAGTCAACAAAAGTGAAGACGAAACATTGTTTCACTTACATAATAATATCTTTGTTTATAATTTTCCGACATGATACACTCAAACCCTTAAGTTCGAGTATTATCAAAACTGGCAAGTTTTCATTTTTTTTTTTAATATTTCGAATTTTAATTATATTAAGGCACAATTTCTTTCTGTTTGCAGCTGTGTTTCACTTTATCATATTAGTAGTGTTTTGTAGCACATTAATTAACTTATTCTAAGTAAACTAATTCGTAATTTGAGTGTTCTTTTATTGATTGTTTATTTTAAAATAATTTTTTAAAATTACTTAATTATAGAATCTTAGTTAAAATTTGTTTGTGCATTGGTAATTGCTTAATAAATGCATTTTAATTGTTTATCAGTAAAATATAAAAGATAATAAAAAAAACCTTAAATATTTCACTCATTAACCACGTGGCAATTTTGGTTGACAAACAATAAAACAAACACATAATAAAATTAATTTTTTAAAACTGCCTTTTTTTAACTCCATTTTTATTTTGTTACCTTTATTTAATCTTCCTTTTGTGCAACGTTTTTATTCCTTACTAACATTTTTATCTTTTCACATTCATTTATTTATTTATTTCTTATGTAGTTTTATTTGGTTTTAGGAATGCAATGCATTTATTTGCAACTTTTGTTTTGTTTCCTCTTTTTTCGGTATTTCAATTTTTTTTTATTCATTTTTTGTTCCCACCTTAAAAAGTTAATTAAAACATTTTTAAGCCTTTTACATTTTTTATAGTATTTATATACTTGCTCTTTTATATTTTTTCATTATACTTTTTTGCTCCGCCTTTTAAAAATTTCTGAAGAAAATATATCAAAACTGATTCATGTATAACAGTATCATAACTATACACATAAGAGATATAAGTATATTTAATATAAATATACTCCAGAATATTTTATAATATATCAATAGCTATATTATATAATAACAAATATTTCAAGCCACAATATAAAAATATATAAGTAAATATATATGTACGGTTGCACATACGAAAAGTGTAAAACAATGTTTAAAGTCTTGAATAATCAACAGAGGCGCATGATTCGCGAAAATTAAAACAGAAACTAAAAATGAAAAAAAAACACAAATGTCGAATGCATAAAATTTGTATATCAAAAAACCGGAGGAACCTAAAAAATAAAAAAAAACACAAAAACAATTAAAAGAAAAAAATTTCATAGTATGTAGATAAAAAAAAGGAAATTCTCAGCAATACTGTGAATAAAAAACAAAATATTAAAAAGAGAAGGCATAAAAATTTAAGCCCCAACATGAGCAACAAAAAATATACACAAACAATACTACCATGAAATAAAAGGAAAAAGAATAAATATGTACACCTATATTAAGAGAAATGAATAAAAAAAAGAAGGCAAGTGAAAAGCACGTTTTCAACCTACCTAAGTGTTGCAATAATTTTTAAAAAAGGCAACAACAAAACACAATGATTATAAAGACAAAAAACAAAATAAAAAGGAAAATAAGCAACAGTACAAGCTTCACAACAATGTCTATATATTACTCAGCAGTCAGCACACAACAGAATTAATAAATAAAACTGCTACAACTACTGCCTACACAAAAGAACCATAAAAACAAAATAAAGAAAAATAGAAAAAAGAAATCCGAAGTTTTACGAAGGATATTTATGAGATGCACACACACAAATAAAAAAAAAAGTTATGTATTGTAAAAAATTCTCTCAGATTCATGAGGCATGCATATGTTTTCTTTTGTAAGAGAAAAATAAAAATTTTTAAAGAGAAATGTGATAATTGAACACTTACATTTTCTCTTTCTCATCTGCTTCTCAGCAAAACGAATTGTTATTTCTTTCTTGTTAGAAGGAAAAAAATAGGAAAGGAAGGAAATTTTTGTAAGAGAATTTTTTTTATAGAGGGGAGAGAATAACAAAAATTTTTTATTTTTTCTCTTAAAAGAATTTTATTTGCATTATTTTACTGTGTTAGTGAGAAGTTCATACTGGTTTGTTTGTACATTACGGTACTTAAATAATAATTATAGAATGGTTTGATTTTTAAAATTTTTTGTATTTTTTGTAAAGGCTAACAAACATTTTTTTGAATATGCATTATGTATGTATTTATGTACGTATGTATATATAAATCAGAAATTTCAAATTTCATATTTGAATTTTTTTTAATCAATAAAAGTATTATTTTCAACTCTGAAAAATCAAACTACGTACGTACGTACAAGGTACAAAAAAAACTATTATATTTTTTGAAAACTGTAATAAACGACTACTTAAATTAATTTTTGTTAAACTAAATGTTACTATGTAAACAAAATAACGTACACATATAAAAATACCATATTTAGGTGCATAAAATATAAGTAGAATCTGAAATAAAATTGAAAATTTTATTGTACGTTTACGAATTTTGACAAAATTAATTAAAATTATTTAGAATAAAGCATTTTTCAAAGAAAAATATTTTTTTTGTGTATTTTGTATAAAGTATAACATTGCAGTAAAATTTTTACAACCAGAATCGCTTAAAATCTGAGAATTTAATTTTTGATAGAAAAACAATAATATGCGAAACCCAATAAAATATTTGGAGAAAATATTATGACAAATGTCGTCATACTACTTAAGAAAACATTTTAATTGCTGATAGTTGTATAACAAAAAAAATTCAATTGGATTTTATTTGTTAACCGAAGTTGAATTATTTTTCTTACTTCAAAAAAAAAATTAGTTTTAAAAGTAAATGAAAAAAATCAAATTTAATTTATCGAGTTGAAGTTGATTTTATTTCTGCTCTAATAAAAGAAATTGTATTAAAACTTACTTATGTAGTTTATTCAAAGAAAAATCCACTTAATGTGGATACCTCGTCAAATTAATTAAAATTAATTTTTAAAGTATTAATTGATTGACGAAAATATCGTAAGCTTTTTCATTGCTATTAAGGAATAACTTGCCAAATCGTTTCTCTTATATAGGAAAATATATAAATAATTCATAATTATTACCCGTGAAAGATCTAAATTTAGAAAAGCTCTAATACAGACTAGAACTCAAAATTAAAAATTAGTATACAGTTTTTAATTAGGTAAGTAAAAAAAATTTTGTAGTTTATACTGAAAATTTAGAAGGACTAAGTAGAAGAAAAGGCACTTTTTACTCTGTCCTTTCGTGTTTACTAAACTGTTTTAAAAATTTTTAAACGTTCTCTGATTATAAGGGAGTAAAAAATTTTACAAATTAAACTGCCGTTTTCGATAAAAAAAATTAATGAAATTGCTAACGTTTTAAATTTGTTTTCCTTAATTTTATATTTTAATTCTTTTTTTACCCAAAACACTATCAAAGATGAAAATGGGGCTAATAAAGTTTATGAATCTTATACATTGCTCCATATAATTATTTTGCCTACTTTAAACTTATTCTTTTTATATAAAATGTACGAATAATACGCTAAATGTAAGTAATTTCCATAAAATTAATAATTGTACAGATATTCATAAACGTAATACTGCAAAATTATAACGTGATGAATATGCAATACAATATTATTAACTATTGTAGAATGTCAAAACAGTTTATAATGGTTACTTCTAATAAAAACTTCGCTATACGTTTGTATAGTGAAGTTTTATATTGCGAAAATATAGAAATCTTTAAATCAACAATTTACCCTAAAAAATTTTTTTCTGTAATTTTAGTAACATTTCAAAAAAAAAAAGAAGAAACTTAAAAATTAAAAAAAAAATAGAGTCTTTGTGTTGGTATGACTCCTAAAACGTGCTCGGAACGTAAACTTTGCAAAGATTCAAAAAATTTTAACAAAAATTCCCGATATTGCAAACTGTTCAAAAATATTCAAAACGTGGCGGATAAGCAAAATGAAAATAAATTGAGTATAACAAAAAATTGAGTACCCTTCTTACCATTAAATAATTGGTAAAATAAGTGCTTAAGTGTTAAAATTTTCATAAAAATGCTGTTTCTTTATGAAATAAAACTAAGTAAATATATTTGAGTTTTTAGACATCCTGTGAGTATTTAGACGACTCTGATAACAACTTAACCGCAAAATATATATTGATTTAGCCAGTCGAGATTAAAAGATAATTAGGAATTTTTATTTATGTCGATCAAAGTCTTTATTTAAAATAAGTAAAGTATTTGGAATTAGTGAGATTTTACAGTTTCTTATGTTCTCAAATTTTTTGCATTCACTCTTGAGAGTTCAAAGTAAACTAATTAGATATTTACAAACAATCTCATTTTTTAAATACTGCTGGACAAAAGTGGAACATGTGTGCACTCAAAAGGTTAAATAATTGTAATTAATTG